GGCTGTGCAAATGGGTTCGCATACTCAATTTGCGAACCCGTTTGCGCTTCCTCCTACACTTGTTTACGAATGTCTCACGAATTTCTCCTCCTTTTTAATTCGTCAATAGAACATTGAAGAGAAAAAGAGTTTTTAATTCTTTCCCAGACATCATTAACAGCCATGCTGTTTTTATGGGATTTCTTTTGATGAAGATACGCTACACAGTAGATGTCCCGAACTATGAAAATGGCGTATAGTATACGTCCGTTACCTTCGCAATCGTCGGCGCAACTGGGCAAGCGAATATGTGGGAGACTACGCGAAGGTTCGAGGTTCGCGCGCTTTGATGTCTGTTAAAAAACTGACACAGCTTGGAAAACCACGAATGCAGCGAAAACTTTGCATAATCATTCGCAAATGTCGTCCCACACTTGCGGGTTTGCGTATTCGTGAGCATGTGAGTGACCGGTGTTAGTATATTGTCGGATCACCTTCTGGGGAGTCATAAAAAAGCTGTCACTCGGTGCGCGATCACCATTCACGCAAATACTTTTTTGTTTTAATTTTATTCTATTATGGAGTTTTTTATGATTCGTCTGAAAATAGAGATTGCCTAATTAGTTGTATGTTTGACGATTTTTTTTCTATTTAAGCTGTTATTGTAACGTTCATGCCAGAGGGAGCTGTTGATAGCCGGAAACCAAGTGATTTTGGTGGAATACTGACAATGCCAGCACTAAACAAAAATCCTATGGCGTTCAAAACTAAACTTTTTCATTTTTTTGTTCAAACGTGGTTTGACAAGAATACTCGGAGGTATTCATTATGACGATGATGATCACTCGGAGGTAGGCATTGCTAACTTTTGTACATGACTACAATAAAAATTTTGAATACATAATTTTGGAGTATTTGTAAATGTGTATCTTGAACTTCGGGAGACAATTTTTTTTTGTATTAATTTTACTCTTATTTTATTAAATACTAAGGCAGATGGTATAAGTACTAGCACTAAAGAACAGCTGACGTACCTTGTCCTATGTATTGTTTCTTCAAATAATCTGTGATCATAAATGTCAATTGTCATTGTCACGTCGTCACGATTTACTCAACATGTCAGTTGTCTTTTAACTACCTAGACGGGAGCGGCGAGCAATGGCCGATTGAAAGTCTCGCCACCGTTGATATCACTCGACGGCATACGTGTTCCATTATTGTGTTCCAACAGGAATTAATTCTTCCCGTGTTTTATTATATACAGTAAGAGTTAAAAAATTTAATACGTTGTGGTTTTATGAATAGTGTAACAGTTTAATGTGTAGGTGTTCGTGAATTCGTCGGACTCTAGTTTCGTATGAAACCATTGAACTGTAAGTTGAATGATTGGATTATTTTTATTACTTGTTGATTTTGTAATTCAGTTTCGTCAGAAATTTTCTTTAGACGTTTTATGAGTATTGAACATGGTTTCCATTTTTTCAGTTTTATTTCGCCTGACCCTAATGTTTACTTCCAAACACAGCTTACATACATACGACTTATAGCAAGATACGCGTCTCATTAACTTTTGATTTACTTACTACATCTATTACGAAAAAAAAGTAAATTTATAATTTATTCAATTTTCTAAATTTAAAAAAGAAATTGAACAAAACAAATAATTAAGGGACCATGTACTACATTTTTTTTAAAATCTAGCAACAATTATAANAATGTTTACTTCCAAACACAGCTTACATACATACGACTTATAGCAAGATACGCGTCTCATTAACTTTTGATTTACTTACTACATCTATTACGAAAAAAAAGTAAATTTATAATTTATTCAATTTTCTAAATTTAAAAAAGAAATTGAACAAAACAAATAATTAAGGGACCATGTACTACATTTTTTTTAAAATCTAGCAACAATTATAATTATCACCTGTTAAATAATGTATGTTGTAAATATTCATGCTTTATCACTCCACACCAATTGTGCAATATCAGCAATATATATATTACTAAGCACTTATTGGGGTTATTAATATATAAACACACATTAATTTCACGGCACAAGAAGTAAACTGGTATATCAATAGAAATCTCATAGTAATTATTTTTGAATTTGGCATACTTTATGTATTCTTATAATTGTAAATAAAACAAATATTAGCTTAAATCATTGAACTTCATTAAATCTCTGATTCCTAAACACCTAATATCTTTTAATTGAGGAATAAAACAGTACATAAATTACTATTAAATATTTAAAAAAATTCTCTTAACAATTATTCTCATTAAGGGCATATTTAATGTGAAAATATATTTTTGGATTTTTGCATTAAATATGCACACAATATATTATAATGTATTGGATTAATTGCAGTGAAAACATTTCTTAAAACCCTAACAAAGTTACAAAGTGAGTGATGTTTCATTTAAATGATCATAAACATGTTTTGTATATAGTCTAAAATCAAATAATATTGTCAACTTGTTCACAAAAATTTTAGTGTGATGAATGGGTAGTTGCCAAGCATCAAGAAGCATTTATCCTTTTTGTTATTGGTGGACATTTATTTGCAGTTTATGACTTTTTTGCTATGAAAGAGAACATGAAGAGAATTGACAAGGGATTGTAAGATATTGCCACGTATAATCATCACACATAAGATATATCTCTGAAATATTAATGTATCAATTTGAAATAAATTCTGATGAAGTAGTCACAAAAATATTTCTTCTTTCAGATGGTATTTGTTAATGAGACAATAATGAATAAAATTATTGGATCCTTGATATGTGTAAAAGAAACGTAAGGTGCAAGATTCTATTATACAGATTGGTCGAGCTAAGGAAATTGTATTATAGTGTAGAAAAAAGAGTTATATAGGTGATGCAATCAGAAGTCTTCTTCTTTTTCTTCACCTTATTCCACTACTACTACTAGGGCTGGTGCAACTAATTTTTCTCTTGCATTCTATTCTATCAGCCTTCATCTCAACACTAATTCCTCTCTCTCTCTCTCCCTCATATCGTCATTCACACACTTCATCCATGTCTTCTTCGGTCGATTAGAAGTGAATTTGGCAATAATGTCAAACTAAAATATGGTTTTGTTTCGTCAAAATTAAAGCAAGTTATTATAAGATTTTTAGGGTATTAATGGTTCTATCATACACCACCACCAAGCCAAATAGATGATTCAGGGTTGATGATTCTGACGTTTAAAAAAAAAGTACCTTTGTACATTTTGCTTTTGCATTAACTTATGCTATCAATTTTTTCTTGTGAAAAGAAAACACCCAAACCTGCAAATATGCAGTAGAAGCCTTTCGCTTTTAATTTTTTTATTTGATAAGTCTTGAAACTTTTCAGTATGTTTTATACATTACAGCCAAGTGGATCCTTTCTTTGATTGTTCCTATAATGTAATAAATTCATTCATCTCAAATGTTTTAATAATTTTTATATATTTGGAAATTTGTGTATTGCATGCAATGTCAGTGCACCTTTGCCAGGAAGTAAGATAGTAGTTAGTGGTAGTAGTAATAGTAAAATGGAAATACTATTATAAATTCTTGTTGTTTTTTTTTATATTTGTTAGGTGGGTGAACGAGCTCGCGACCCGTCTGATGCTAAGTGGTTACCGGAGCCCATAGACATCTACAATGTAAATTCCGCCACACACCTGAGATATGAGTTCTAAGGTTTCAGTATAGTTACAACAGCTACCCTACCCTTTAAACCGAAACGCATTACTGCTTTCCAGCAGAAATAGGCAGGATACTGTATACCCACCATCATAATATTTATCTGGTCATCACGTATCTTCGATTTACGTTTTGAATTCTATTTACATGCTGCTCGCGTACTACACCGCAATACGAAACGATCTGTTCAAAACTCTTCAATTCGTTTGTTCCTTGTCGGTATGTGAGGCCCTCTCCCAGACCAACGGTCGTCTCCAAGGCTGTCGACGTGTACGCAAAACGCGCCAAGGTTACCCCGTTTCAACACCGAAGGCCGATCATCGGATCGCGCCTCACGCATCTCTCATATTGATGAAACGGATGTGATTTGGATTTTTAATGCCTCATCACATCACATTTTCCTCGTCGGACGTCCGAGAAATAATAAAATACAATATCATTTTCTTTAAAAATTAACATAAAATATTTTACCTGCCGTTTTCATGGGGTTAACGTACTGATTCTTCACGGAACTGGGTAATTCTTATAAAGTTTAATTTGTATTAATTCTTGAAATGATAAGAGCACTACACAAAAATTAGCCAAATTTGAATTTACTGCGACTAGAGGCATAAGATACAGGGTGAGACTAGAGGCTATTATTATATCCCATCATGCGTCCGTGTATCCGCTATTTTCTTATTTATTGACTTATTTATTTTTTATTTACTTATTACACTTCATGTAAAATTTACATTGGCGGACTTGATGTCTAAGACATTCTCTTCCAGTCAACCAAAGGTAGTGCAGAGTAAATGAGTTATTTATCATCTCACTAATCTTATCTTCTCCTATCTTAAATAGAGGCTATTGAGTGTGCGAAGGCCCGCGCTGGTTATTGGCACCGCTTTATGCATTTCAGGTGTGAAGCTATCATGCGTTCTGGTTTGTGTCTCTATTTTAATTCAAATGAGACTGATTCCGTGTGTCCAAAGTGGCCGATGTCATTCACATGGTTTGGTTCTGGAAACAACTTAACACAAGATGCATATTGTGTGCTCGTCGTCTGTTCTAATAAAAAAATAGAACGAATGAAATATTCCATGGAACGTTTTCTTTTTATTCGTGCCACTAAATTCAACCAACGATATAATTAAAAGCTAGGCTTTAATCCGTAATGATGTCTCCATGCGATAAAGCTTCCTCGTTTGTCCGAGTACACAGTTTGAGCCGTTTTACATCTAAACATCTGTGTGAATTCTCCTTGTCTTGTGCCTCCGAACCAACCGAGTTCTGTCGAAGACATCTGGTTTTTATTATAATCGCTTACGGAATCAATGTCTTATCTGATTATATCTTTACATCTACAACTTAACAATCCATTCGTAATAAGTTTATTGTCAGTTTGTTATGAGCGTCAATATCTTTGGGTATTGGAAAAACAAAATGGATTTGTTTCACCTTCCATATTTTAGTCTTTATGAGTTAAATATAGTATGGCAACTCTGTTTTGTTGATGTTTTCATCTGTGACAGGTATTAAGAAAGTAATAATCTCTATAGCTACATAGTTGGGAACTATTGACTTGTTGCGAACCATTGACTTGATTATTAATCTCACTCGGGTCTTTGTAATATGTCACGTGCCGTTCGATCAAATGTACAATCAATTGCCGCGCACTATTAGTTCTTTACTAAAGGCACAATTAGTAGCCTAATAGTAGCCTAACATATCGACATTATGTAATTAGGCTGGGAGATGATTTCGAATAAATTGCTCGATCGCGAACCGGCGCGGCGTTGTCCAATCACAATAGAGCGGCGGCCGGTCACGAACCACGTTAAATCGTCGGAAGTTTGAAAATGAAAAAAATAAACGCGATATTGAACGTGTAAAGTGCTTTTAATTATGTCTGCGAACAGCGAAAACCTCGGAATGTATTAGGGTTTTTAAAACTCCCAAGTAGGAAAGGGTTTTCTTAATTTACATGAATTGTATGTGTTCTGTTAGTATATAAAGCTGGAACATGGTAAAAGAGGTTACGTTCATATTCATAATACGATCATGATGACATGGTCCGTCGCGCTGCCAGTACATACTTGGCCTTGGGACCGCGGAAGCGCGCTTCATAGAATTCGCAATGTTCAATGTCAGGCCTGTCACCTAATTCCGACGCGGTACACCAATTCCAACTGTTAATTTAATTCCAATATTTACATTGGCACTTTGCAAATAATAAAATTCGCTTTTCGAAGGACAATTTCGGATATCGACACAATAATTTATGGTTTAGTTAACAAAATAATATATTCTTGGTCTAGGGATAAATAACAATGTTTACATATCGACGGCTCTGGAAGGAACTTCCCTGAACGGTGATTCTTAAACCCTATGCTACTTCCTTCTTCAAAAGAGATTAAAAAAAAAATAGCATCTGATTGTTTTGGTACCGATGATCTTTCGCCATCCGGTGGCCTCTCATTTGACCTCTGAGGCAATTAAAAACATAAAAAAATCGTACATTGCATAATAAGCGGACTAGTTTTAGATTTCAGCTAAATATACAAATGAATTGAGGATGACACGGGTGGGCTGCTTTAGGAAAATCCGTTTACGTAGGTGATTGGCGGGACGCCTGAAAGAACGTGTTTTGAATACTGGAGCTGGAAAATCGGGCGTAGATCACTAGCATA